GGACTGTTCATTTTTTTTTAACAACATATGTACTGAAAGGTACAGTGTTTTGACAACAAGTGTATATCAGCTGTAGCAGCATCATATGAATTCTGGCATTTTACACATAGTCCACCAGGAGGCGCCAACACAAAAGTCAGAGACTTCACATGAGATTTGGACCATCTTGTGGGGGGAAAAGCAGATTACTTCCTACTCGCGAGCGCCCCCTCTGGTGGGGAAACTTTTTTCAGGTATACAAACTTTTTCAGAACACCGGTAGACGGCAGCCATTACAGACGAACATGTGTTTGTTGTTGTTCGAGGAGCGGCCCGGTCACACGCTAATGTCATTAGTTCGTTATCATTACTAAGGTGCAGGAATACTTATTTTTCTTTTTTTTCACATCATGTCGCCTGCCTGGATCTGTTATCATCTCACTCTGAAGAACGGACGAGTGTCAGGGGTAAGTTCGCTTCAACTGCTTTTTACGATGTGTTCTCATTTCTGGACTCAGGCATTTTGGAATGAAGCCAATATTTCAGTTAAAATACATAAGTAAAAATATTTATCTGAGTATAATACTACCCCCCAACTTTATGGATGATTTTATGGATTAAATGTTATTTATTATACTTGAATAAATACGGTACCTTGCCTTGTTTGGTATCATTGTTTTCAGCACAACCAAAATGTTGAATACACTCCGTTCTCCAAAACACTCACATTCACCACAAGCGTACAGACAAACATTTTTTACTGGTTGCTTTGTAAATGTGGTACATTTCAGGAAATCAGAAAAATGGGTGTCATTCAAGCACTTCTTGGTCGCAAAACATTCACTGAATACGCAGCAAATGCAAAAATAAATAAATAAATAAATTAAAAAAAAAGCTCACAAAATTATGGCGAAAATGATTCATCATAAATCTGTTTTTTTTCTGCTTGGCCTTCAGAGGGTTCGGACGCCTTTGCTCTTCCTCCCGCACCTCCCTACTTTTCCCTGCTTCGCTGCAGGATCAAGCCTTTCTTCTACCTATCGTTCGACAACAAAAGAACTATGGATCTGGTCAACTGGTCTCTGAATGCAATCAATACCATTTTCTCCACTCTGAGATTAGAGCGTGGGGAGAGCTCTTGTCCCAGTGGAACTGTGGCTGCGGGGCGAGTTTCAGCCAGCTGGGGGTGTTGGAACCTAATCTGCCTGGCACCTCTTTCCACTGAGGACGTCGAAGATGTTTTCATATTTAGATTTATGATAATCGGATTCCTGATGATCAGCTGTAGAGGAGTTCTGGTTTATTGGAAAATGAGCATGGCACTGACGGCGATTCGGTCCTGTGAGAAGCTGTCAGTGACCCTGGATGGAATCTCTCCTACGGTGAACGCACAGACTCAAATTATGGGGGAGTTGAATCGCAAACTGGATGTGGTTCTAACTAGGATCGCAGCCCAGCGGTGCGAGGAGTGAGGGCAACATCTGGGTGAAGTTCATACGGGAGAGGCGAGATGGTAACAAATCTGGAATATTGGCATTTTTCACAAAACAGAGGCACAGTAAAGACCTTAAAGCAGTGGAGGAAAAGTCTGCTGTTTGCTCAAAAAAATTTATTCCATCATCGGATCCCCACAGATGTGACCTTGGTCACAGGCTGTTAAAAAAACTCCCTGGATAATACGTGTGGGCGGAAGCCTTGAAGCTCCTTTTTTAACTCATCCTTCCTATGTGTGTGTGTATTCTAAACTGCAAGGTAGCGCACATTGTTGCACAGGGCCCTGGACATTCGTTCCCACGTGTCTGTCATGTGTGTGTTTCTCTGGACGGATGTTAAAAACTACAAATTTCATTCTGCATTGCATCTGATGTTGTGTATTAATGACAATAAACGATTCTTAATTCTTGATTTGGAAGTAAATAAAAAACAAAAACAATATAAAAACACTATTTTTATAGAGTTTGAAGTCTGTGCTGTCCAACCCAGTTTAAAGGAGCCTCTGCATGCTGCCATTTTTGTGGCATTAGCCCTTGAAGGTGTAGATCCCTCCTCTGGAGGTTAGGTTTTTTTTTAAAGTAAATAAAGAAACAAAAAACAACATAAAAACATTATTTTTATAGAGTTAGAAGGCCATGCTGTCCAACCCAGTTTAAATGAACATTCTGCATGCTGCCACTTTTTTTGCATTAGCCCTTTAAATGTGTCACGTCTTTGCCCGCTCCAGAGTGGGCGTCTATCTTAGAGGGTTAAAGAACTCGTCCAGAGGACCTACATATTTTTCTTTTTGAATTTTCTATCTGGATTACTGAGATGCATCAGGACATCTAAAGAAGTACCTTGCATCAAGCCATAGGGACTGGGACATTAAACTGTCTCTAGTACTCATGTCCATTCATGCAACACCATGAGTCCACAGGTGTCTTCTCTTTTGTCTTCTCTTTCAAGATGATGACAGATAGACGACACTCCCTCTACATCTGTTCAAACAACCAGGTGAAGTCGGTGTAGTGATTGCCTACACCACTCAACAGTACATGACTGGTCTAATCTGACTGACCTGTAATTTCATTGTACTCTGTACAATGACAAATAGAGGTCTATCTAAACTAATCTTATCTAATCTAATCTAATCTAATCTAATCTAATCTAATCTAATCTAATCTAATCTAATCTAAACATCTGAAAAACACTTTTTTTCTTTGCTCAGAAAAACTTAGAGAAAACAGCAGAAGGATGTAAAGCTTACTGTGATCAGAAAGATGTGACAAAAACCAGGGGTCTCATTTATAAAGGATTGCGTGGAAACCATACTAAAAGTGAGCCTACGGCCAAAAGGTGGAAATGATGTATGCCAAAAAAAATTTTCAGATTTATAAAACTGTGTGTACGCACGTTTCTGTGCATCTTTCCTTTATAAATCACAGCCGCACATCAGAGTTTGCGCACGAGGTCCCGCCTCAGGTTCTACTCTCTACACGCCCACACTCAACCATAAACAGTCAATGCAAAGTACCTCATGAATGTTAAGATGTATTTAAATCAGTCAGCTGATCAATGTCAACAAAAGTGATTGGCTGGCTCAGCCACGCTCCATCATGCGTCTGGAGGATGACAGTTGCTGACTGACAGCTGCTCACGTGAAAGGATGTCTGTAATTTACACAGATTTTCCCTCATTTTGCTTTAGAGTAATCTAACAATTTTTATTTTTAAAAAACTCAGCTTCAAATTAATTTCCCTCAGAGCTGCAGGATGATAAAAACAATAAAAATAAAATTAAATAAGTTAGATAAAATTAGAAATAAGTCCACCGCTCTTCTCTTCGTCCTCTCCCCCTCCTGCCTGCTCTGTTATCCGCGGCAGACACCCTCGCCCNCCTCTGGAGCAGGCTTGGACCTTAGAGGTCTACCGAAGTACACTTTAGAAATGTAGGTTGGCAAATTTGCACCAGTTCCTTTTTAATAATTATTTAATTTCAATAATTAAATTTTTTTATATTTATAATGTTTTTATAGGTGAGATCTTTAGTCATTGACATTCAGGTCAGTATGTTCATATTTTCTGTCATAAGGAGAGCAAAATGCAGATTTACCACTTTAGATTCACAGAAACTGAATTAAGAAAGATCTGAAAAACAATTATGCAATTTTTTAACATGTTAAAAACTCAAGCAATAAATAAGAACAGCAGGAAACAGAGGATCCCAATAAATATTTCTAGACGTTTTGGAGACTCCCTCATGATTGCTGCTCAGTAACAAGCCTCAACAGTCAGCCCGGAGAGAAAAGACTGAAAATAAAACAGCACGAATAAGCTACACAACCTGGGTGGGTTTACTCCTCACTAACCTGAGTCTTCTTCAGGGTCTTGATGGTGTTATTTAGGCTGTTCTCCATGCTTACGATATCCTCAGTGACAGAGTTCACCTGCAGCTGAAATCTGGACAGCTGAGCCTGAAGATTTTCCAGTTCTGACTCCAGCAAACTACAACACAGGAAGGATTTCCTCTCAGATCTCAAGTCATAAACAAGTCTCAGGTCTAAAAGAATGAATGGTGTAAAGGGTTTTATTCAAACAGAACATGTTTTGGGTTGGATGATTGATAAGGACTGCTCTGTTTTTAACCCTCTCAAAGTGATTAAAACAACTTCCTGAAGTTCAAAATTAGAATCCGAAAAGGGGAGAAAGGGCATTTAATTGACATTGAACTTGGAACGGTTGATGGTGTCAGATGGACCTGATCTGAATGTTTAGGAAATGTCTGGAATTTTCACACACAACTAATCACACATCTACAATATCTAGGGAAGGCATTCCCACCTTCCCTAGGTCAGAAGCCAGACCGAGTAAGGGCTCTGTCCTGACTGGTGCTCAATCTGGTAAATACATGAACATAGATAATTTTCAAGATACATTTTTTTCTAGCGACAGACGTCTTAAGTGCTGATATGCAGACAGTGTGTATGGCAACAGCTGCACTCAACTGAGCCAACCAAATGTTTTGTTTACCCTGTGCAGTGAGCCAGGGGGTCATGATTTTATCAGTCCCATACAATGGCTTCAGAATGTCCCTACTGTGCCTTCTAGGCTTCAGACTGTCTCGACAGTGCCCCCTAGTGGGTTAATATATCAATGACAATGACTGTGTAAATAACCAAAACATATTTTAATAATTTTTTTGTCCTTCCCTGGTGGCGTTCCTTGCTCTTGCTGTCTGTGTCGGTCTTGGGCCCTGGTCTCCCACTCTGTGGTCCGACGCTCTACCCATTGACCTATTAGAAGGCCACATTATACACTTGTCGGAGGGCGGTGTCTTTAGCGCTAACCATGACATTTTCTCTAAGGTTAACCTTAGTGGCTTTTGCCTCATTTTAACCAGATAGTGCTTTTATGCCTAATATTAACCAGATAGTGGTTTTATGTCTCATATTAACCAGATAGTGGTTTTATGTCTCATATTAACCAGATAGTGCTTTTATGCCTAATATTAACCAGATAGTGCTTTTATGTCTCATATTAACCAGATAGTGGTTTTATTGCCTCATATTAACCAGATAGTGGTTTTATTGCCTCATATTAACCAGATAGTGGTTTTATTGCCTCATATTAACCAGATAGTGGTTTTATTGGGATCAAATAATTTCCTTCACTGTGGAGGTGACAGTATACAGTATCTTGCTCCAAACTAAGAAAAGTTGATGCTGAAAATCTAAGTTCTAATGATGAATGCACAGAGAAATTTATGCTCATTCTTTGGCAGGAAGTTCAAACCTTGTTTGTCACATTCTCAGAAACATTCAGATTAAATAAAAGTGGCAACATGAAGCACCACTACGAAACAAAGCACAGCTCTTCTGTTATGCACTGAAGTCTGAGCAGAGAGCACGCAAATTAAACAAACTGCAAGCCCATCATCACAAGTACTTTCACAGTCCAGTGACCTGCAAAGGAAGGTTCACTCAAGGTATGGTGGATTTTGGTACAACGTAAAAGAAGGAGATGGAGAAGGCTTGTGACCGTGTTTCTTGAGGCATTCAGTTGGGGATGCTGAGGGAGTATGGAGTGTCTGGATTGAGATTAAGAACATCCAGACCCTGTAGAACCAAAGCAGGAGCTGTGTTCACATCCTTGGCAGAAAGTCGAGCTCGTTTTCAGTGCGGGTTGGACTCTGTCAGGGCTGTCCCTTGTCTCCAATCCTGTTTAGTGTTTATGGAAAACAACTCAAGATGCAGTTGTTGAGAGGAGGGTCTCTGGTTTGGGAACCGCAGGGTCTCGCTTTAGCTTTTTTGCAGATGATGTGGTTCTGCTGGCATCTTCAGGCCAAGACCTTCGGGGGGCACTGGGGCGGTTTGTAATCAAGTGTAAAGCGGCTGGGATGAGAGTCAGTTCCTCTAAACCTGAGGCCATGTTTCTTGACCAGAAAAGGGTGGAATGCCCCCTTCTGGGTCAAGGGAGAGTCTCTGACTCAAGTGGAGGAGTTCAAGTATCTGGGTGTCTTGATCATGAGTGATGGTAGGATGGAGCGGGAGATGGATTGACGGATTGGGGCCTCATCCTCAGTAATGAGGGCATTGCTTCGGTCAGTCATGGTGAAGAAAGAGCTGAGCCGAAAGGCAAAGCTCTCGATTTACTGGTCTGTCTTCGTTCCAACCCTCACCTATGGTCATGAGGCGTGGATCATGACCAAAAGAACGAGATCCTGGATACAAGTGGCTGAAATGAGGTTCCTTCGTGCTCTTTGAGTCAGTGGAGGCAGTTCATTGGATTAGGATGCCTCCTGGATGCCTCCCTTTATAGGTTTTCCAGGCATGTCCCACTGGTAGGAGGCCCAGGGAAGATCCCCGGGTGATCAGCAAATTTCATTGTGTATCCTCTCTGGCTTGGGAAAGCCTCCGGGTCCCCCAGGACAAGCTGGAAAGTATTGCTGGTAGAGAGATGTCTGGGTTTCTCTCCTGGACATGTTGCCTCCATGACCCGACTACAGATAAGCGGCAGATGATGAAGATAAAAAAACATTTAGTGAAGGGACAGTTGTGAAATAGTGCTTGAATGCTGAGACATTGCTTGACGGAAAACAAAAAGACAAGATGTATGAAAAAACAAATCCTGTTAGCTTCAACAACAAACAGAAAAACAGATATATTAAAGGATGATGTACTAATAGTGCAGTTTGTCCGTAGTGAAAATGGTGGGTTGGCTAATGCTGACTGACAGCTTTGTGGATCACCCAGTTGTGGGTTTCTTAAGTCAAACCAATATAGATCTGAGGTTTAAACTTTTTTTGTATGTGTGTTTTTTTTTCCAAGACCTGCCAGCTCCTTGAGGCAGAGGAGAAAATAAATACAAACTTTGTCAGCTCAAAGACTGGATAAAGTATGCATCAAAGCAGAAACAACCATGATGAGTAAGGTTATTGTGAAAATTAAAACTCTAAAATGATGTAGACTACTTGGATGTATTTTGATCAGTGGGACATAACAAGGGGCAAGAGCCGTTCTGTGACTCCTGCTGGTCTCATCAGCAGATTGAGTGACAGCAACACGTCAGAGCAGCTGCGTATTTTTCCACCTCTCTTCATCCTGCACTGATGTTCTCTAAAAATGTGTTTGAGTGGCAGTAATAAAACATCTCTGTCAGTGACTTCTGAACTGCCAGACAGAGCATCAACACGTTATAGGCTGTTCAGCCATTTAACGTCTTCTGAAAGAGCCTTTTAATATCCTTTGGAAAACCTGGACAGGAAGAACTGCAGGGCTAGAAACTCTTTTCCTGACTTTATTTTAAAACAATCATCCTGATCTGTGTACATACAAAACTTCAGCAAATACAGGTCCCTTACAGCAGAGATTCTTAACCTATGGGCCGTGGCCCACGAGCGCCACCTTGAGGGCCTCAAAAGAACAACAGTTTTTAACTTTTGGGCCGCAGAGGGCCGTGGGGCCGCATTGATTTTGAATATGGTGCAATACACTTTCTCACCACTAGTAGCAGTAGTGCACCACTCAGATGTTTAACAACTTTTTTAATAAGTAGAAGAAGAAACTTAGAAACCTGCTGAGAATGGAAACTTATTTTAAATGAAAAGTAGAAGAAAAAATGAAAATAACCCATCAAAAAAATGCCAGTTTATCACTAATACGAAGTGCAACTTCTGATTCTATCATGCAATATTTTAAAAGTTCAAAACATGATCAAATACAGTTGCAGATACAACTATATTTT